TTTTTCGCGATTACTGATTAGTACTGTTTATATGCTATTTTTGTCGTTTGGATTTTTCTCGTATTCTTAAGGCTTAAAAATGAGCTATGCAAATCCATTTAACTTATGTACATGTAAAATTATCAGTATCAGCTAACAATATTAACTAGTTACATGTTTTATAATCGAATAATTATTTTCATTTATTATGAGCAAGCGATATTATAACTAGCTTCTGCTCTGCCATTAATATTTATGCGTTATAAACTTATACACGTGAAAAGCAAACGATAACATTAATTATTTTCTTTCTTTATTTATTATTTTTCCTTGAACGTGAAAACGTACATAGAAAAGGAGAAGCGAATGTGCGGCACGAAACCAGTGAAGAAAACGCATTGCTATCTGCCCAATTGACTTCATTTACTTTCACTTTTTTTTGTAAATGAAAATGACTTTTGATCGTTTTGTTTTCTTTTTCAAAAATGTTTTTGTCTCTTCTTAATAAGAGGCCATTTCTCTAGCGTCTAATACTCTAATAAATTAATTTCTTCTTTTTTTCCTCGAAATGTCATCAAATACTATTTTTTACTTTTTCCAATTTTTGGTCTTCTATTATGATTATTCCTAGACTAATCTTTGAATATCCCTTTTTCCAAGTTATGTTCAAGTTTACAAGTTTGTCCTACTTATAGAACTTTTTACAAGATTGAAGTCTTACTTATCCTAGTGGGGAGTCTCTTCCAAAAATTTCTACTTTTCCATGCAACAACGTATATAGGATTTTTTTATAAGTGATATTAATATTTAAATAAATAAATATCACTATAATAACAAGCAATGCTATTTTTATATTATAATTAAAAAATTTATTTAAATTTTTAAATATATATATATATATATATATATATATAATTTTTCAATGAAACCGGCAAGTTATATTCTTCATGTTTCCAAGTATTTGTTAGGATCCCTATTTCATTTGAACTCTCAATTTATTATTATTTTTTTATTTATAATTTAGCAATTCACGAGTTTGAAGTTTGTGCAGACAAAACTCCTATATTTAATTGGAGAAAGAACAAATTCACTGGTCCATTATTTGTTTCAAATCATATGGGTGAAAAACATTTACACCCTTAAATTTGCGTTAAAAATTTAAAACAATTCCCTCAACTTTGAATAATGGTATGGCTTATATATCAATTTAAAGCAAATTTGAGTGGTGTAAATAATTTTCACCCGAGTCTAATGCCACTAATTTTCGCAGATTTCTCGATCATATATCAAAAGGAAGTTTAGCAATTCATTCAATAAACATGTAAAACTCTACTTATATCCGGGCCACCTTCTACAGTTCTACGTAATATAATGTGATTTCAATTGTACATAGTAATCAATAATTCACAATTCGAACAGGAGAATTGAGTTTGAATTCATTGATCAAGTCTAGTTAGATGTTCTTATCCCATTAGCTCTTAATTAGAAGAAAAAAAAACAAAGTCAAAATTAAACTTATCTTTCTTTATCTCTTTCCATTTTCTTATTTTTATTTAACTAAAATATTGCATGTCTTCTGCTAGGAGTACGAGACATGTCGTAAGTGTATCCCCCTTTAAGAAGCAAATAGGTAATTAAATAAAAAACTGAAAAGAAATCTACTCAAAATCCAGCAACCCATTTCAAAATCAAGCACTTGTACAAAGTGATATCATAAGTAAATTGTTAATTTCCCAGGTGTTTAGCTTTTCGGAAAGCCAGAAAAGAACGAAATTTACCTCATCAGGCAAATACATTAAAAAATCCAATATATATAATAATGTTAAAAAATTTACACTGTATTGATCATTAGCTTAGTCACTGATTCATGTTACTTATTAAATTTTTTTCCAAACAAATTTGAAGGGTGGATTAGTTCTATGTTTGACACGTTTAATTAGTCAGTCAATTAAACAAACTAGAAAGTAAACGACTGAAATGGTCTTAAATTTAATTAATGTTTAACTGGATTACTACTGATTCACTTTCACTATAAATTCATAGGATTTAGCACTTTTTCAACTTTAATTAACGTTTTAAATGGGTAACCCTGACAAGTGTCTGATCTGTTTAATTAATTAAACATAACACAATCTAATCCTCGTCACATTTTGTTGGCTGAAGGAAAACAGTTGATTTTCTCATTTTATTAATCATGAATCTACATCCATACAGTTTTATTTCTTTCTAATTTCCCTTTGTTTTATTTTGATCGATGACTTCGATGCCAATTTTATTTGCTAATTTTCAATGAGACCATCTAAAGTGGGACGAAGGGGGTCTTATTCGAAAAGTTTAATAGTTAATTTTAAATTTATTATTAGACCATTTAAAGTGAGACGAAGGGAATGCTTATTTGAAAAGTTTAGTTGCAAATTATGTTGTTAATTTAACACGGATAAAGCCATACCATTGTGATAATGGAATGGAATGATATAAAAGATGATTAGAGGCAATGGTGCAATAATAATAACACATGTCAAATGTTTTTAATGCTTGTAATAAGTATATAATGTCCAACAATATGTTTGCCAAATGACCGAAACAGCATATAAAAGGGGAAGTGCACAATTAGTCACTAATTAGAGATGTCTTTGCTCTTTAGTTACTATTTAAAATGTATTTACTCTTTAGCCCGTGCTTATTAAATTTTTATCTACCCGAATAAAAATACCCCTGTGCTAGACATGAGTGTTGTGTAAATATTAAGGACATGGTGTCCTTAACTCCATGAATGCTGTGTAAATATTAAGGACAAAGTATCGTGTATTTGTACCTTCCGTTGTTAAACTTTAGGACATCATGTCCTTAACTTCATATGTGCAGTGTAAATGTTAAGGACATGACGTTCTTAACGTCATGCGCGCAGTGTAAATATTAAGGACATAATATCCTTAACTTGTATTTGCACCTTCTGTTGTTAAACTTTAGGACCTTATGTCTTTAACTTCATATGTGCAGTTTAAATGTTAAGGATATGGTGTCATTAACTTCATGTGTGCAGTGTAAATATCAAGACATAGTATCCTTAACTTTATAAGTGTTGTGTAAATATTAAGGACATAGTGCCCTTAACTTCATGAATGTTGTGTAAATATTAAGGACAAAGTGTCCTGTATTTGCACCTTCCGTTGTTAAACTTTAGGACATCATGTCCTTAACTTCATATGTGCAATGTAAATGTTAAGGACACAACGTCCTTAACTTCAAATGTTAAGGACACCATGTCCTTAATATTTACGCATCACTCATGAAGAAAGGGTAACAACATCTTTTCGTATTAATTTTAATAGAATAATGGCTATTTTTGCTCAGCATTAAAAATACTAGATAAAAACTAAATAACATGTTAAAAAGTGATTATCCCACGCCATTTCTACCATATAGTATGTTCCTCATTTGGTAATCTCATTACCTGGAAACTAGTTAGACCATATTCCTTTCTACTTTATACTTATTGAATTCAAAGAATATGCACTGATAATATATATATTTTTTGTAATAATTAAATTATTTTAATTTATTATAATAACTTATTTACCATTTTTATTATTTAATTTGTTATTACTTTCATGATTTGATTATGCAAATAATTTTTACTTGAACACGTAGTCTTTTATATTTATAATATCCCGTGCGAAAACATAAATGAGAAAGGAAAGTAAATATCTCAGAAAAATTGTAGTTTTGTGTTAGAATTAATATTTATCATAGAATATTTTTTAATTATCATACAAGTAACCTAATTATATAATATTTTTTTGTTTCATTTTTGCATAGAACTTCACCTTGTTTATTTTTAATAAAATTGACAATAAATATGAGAAACGTTTCACTATAGTTGAGAGACTAACATAACTTGAGACAAATTTCTTAAGAATCCCTTCAAAATCTTTCCAAACCGTAATTAGTAGTACTAACAATCCAATGATTCTCTTTTATTTAAGCCAACCAGTTTCAAATTTATGGCAGTATAATCACGCAAATATTTTAAAATTAAGGAAAAAGACAGAGTTCCTATACATACAACTCCATTCTATGGTTAGAAAACAACCAATGAAACAATTAACACGTAAGAAAATCATATATCTCTGTCTATTTGAAATTACCTTTCTAGCCTTTGCAATCAATTTCTGGACTTCAATGTCCTTTCTTCTCTCTCTCTCTCTCTCTCTCTCTCTCTCTCTCTCTCTCTCTCTCTCTCTTTTTGGAATTTAAGTTATACTACTATATATTAACCAATTAAGAAATTTTCATAATGAATTTTAATATAGATAAGTTATTATTTTTACTAAATTACTAATTAATACATATTAAAAAATTACCTATAATCTTTTTACATATTTACGAGAGAGAAATACTTGGGGGTCGTTTGGTAGGATGTATTAAAAAAATAATATATGTATTAACTTTGATATTACTAATTTTGTATACTTTATTCAGTACTATTCTTATATACAGTAAACCATAGCATTAGCAATACTATTGTGTTTAATAAATGGATTAGCATGTATAAAGACAAAATTGACCTTTCAAAAGCAAATGAAACAATTGATAAAAAATAATCCTAACATAATGAATCCCAGTGTTACTAATGCATCTCATTCAATACTCTCTCTGATCGATAATAAGTGATATTTTGACCTTTGTCACACCCCTTAATAAAATATTAATTCATAAAAAATATTTTGACTAAATTACCCATAATTAAAATTTGCATGTTGTTAGCTTGACGTATTTGAATATATAAATAAAGGCAAATTTTAGAAAAAGAAAGTTAATTTCCTCTTAATTATATATATATTTTTTATTTTGTACTAAAATAAAAAAATAAAAAATTATTTATTATGGATAGGAGAGAGTACCAAACTATCCCTAAAAGTGATCAAAAATCAAAATACAATTTCTTTTGCAAATCTCAATGTCTATCTCTGTCTTTCTCCATCATTGTATAAATAGAGAACTAGTTAAAGCTTTTTGCTTTTACGAGGTAAGCTACCAGAACTACTTCTTCTCCTTCCTCTTTATTCACAAACCAACCAATAAGCCTAAACTAACCAAAACTTTCTTCTCTTTCTTCGTGCAAAAACGTAGCAGAAACAACCAACAGAAATGAAAAGGAAAGATCGATAAATATGGTTTAGTAAAAAGCTCTCTTTCTTTTTCTCAAGAAACTGCAAAAAGTTCAAAAACCAAGATATTCTATCAATCCTTACTTGTAAGTAAGTGCCCCTTGTGTTGTCATGTTTTTCTGAGTTCTTTTTACTTATTTTCTTGGGGAAAAAAAATGAATTCATAGTTTCAATATGGTAAAGTTTTTGCCTTGTTTTCAACTGATTTCAGCAATGCCATTGACTGTGTTTTCTTCAAAAACACTCTGTTTTTGTACTATTTTTACATCATTTATTTTCTTGGAACTTTACTTTAGTATGGGTCAATCACATAGTAATTAAAACTCTCACTGATTTTCTCACTTTAATTGATCTTTTCAGTTCAGAATCTTTATACTATTGCACATGGTTTTTCAGAGATCAATATGATTTTAATCAAAATTTTATAGTTTGTACTAAGTGGAATGAACTCAAAAAAGTTTTTACTATTAATATGGGGTTGAAGATTTGATCTTCATCTTTTGTAATATATTTTCCTTTTGTGTTTTTCTTTATTTGCTCAATATCTCCACTTTGTCTTTCCATTCTGTAAAGTCCCCTAAAAAACGAATAAACATAATCTTCAACCAAAAGTAACTCTCTGGCTTCTCTTATATTCTATGTTTATTTAACAATATTTATTTATTAATTATTATTGGGTTTGGTTTCTTTTCGTTTACGATCCCTTCTCAGAAACTGTCTCCAAATCTCCTACAAATTGTTCTTTTTTATAATTTAAATTCCACCGTTGAAAACGCCATTAATGACTTGTTTATAGCAACCCTCGCACTAAACTATATGTATTATTTACATTTTTCAAACTTTCTTTCGCCTTCTTTTCTGCTCTTATGTTGACATAAATACATATCTTATAATCTGAATCTCAATATAAAATACCATCTTCTATATTTCTTTTTTTTCTAACAAAAAACTAGCTTCATCTTTTTCCAGCTTCATTGCAATTTGCAGCCATGAAAACAGAGCGAAAAATACCAAAGGTAACAATTTTTTATGTTATTAATGTTTTTTCCCTTTGTTGGGTTTCAGTTGAATATATGTATTATATGTATGTATATTTTTATACACACAATAGTGGTGTAACTGTGTGTTCTTGAATGAATACTGATGAGTTGATTTTGACTTTTTTTCTTGCAGTCTTCGTGGACTAAAGTGGTTGTTAGGAAATGGTTGAATATGAAAAACAAATCGGAGGAATTTTATTCAGATCATATAGTAGACGGTAAGATTTTCAACTCTTTTTATTTAATGTTTTTCTGATTTATGGAAAAATAATAGGGCAAAGATCACTAACGTCCCATAGCGCAAAGGGTATAAAATTTATAAATTTTCTTATATATAACATAT